ACACAGCAAATCCAGAAAACCTCTTCTTTTTGTAACTTTGTATCGTCCACCAAGTCCTTACTCTGAATTTTTTGATAAAATTTTAGAGTTCCTTTCTGATTTGGTATTAAATACTGACAGGGTCATTATTTAACCTCAGAGTTCTCCTCCCCCAAAAGAAGGTTTGACTATAGCAGATCATTATCAGATAGTGCAGTTATAAATTTTAAAGAATCTGCTTCACTTTCTCTCTCCTCTGTGTCGCTGAGCAGTGCTGCAGAGCGCAAAAGTAGTTTAGTTTATTTCCCCTTCACAGGTTGATGATTTTGTTGATGGGGTTTGCTGTTATGATCTTGGCGCTGATGGTCTGGTTTTTTCCTTTGCTCCTTGCTCCCCTGTCTAATTGGTTCTGCGGCTGATTATCGCCGATCATTTCCACCTGGTTCCTCTACTATTTAAGTTGTGTGTTTGCCTCCCATCAGCGCCAGGTTATTCGTGTGTTTTTTGTGAGACGTTCTCTAGCAATCTGTAGTCTGTCTGTTTTCCTGATTTTGACCAGTTTTCTGCCCTGAGAATTTCGAGTTTTTGCCTTGCCCTGTCTGCTCTGTTTGTCCTGTCTGATCCTGGATTCTACCGGCTTCTGAACCTGGAACTGTCTTCTGACTTCGGCCTTGGATTTCCCTTCTGGACTCTGTTGCTGCTGAGTGTCTGCTGCGCGCTCTCTAGGAACTCTGGGGGCGTCGCCCGCCGCAACTGCGGTCAAACCTCCGCGAACGGACTGAACTTTGAATCAGGTCAGTGACTTTGCTCCAAGTCGTGTTAAGCTCCACATCCAGTCACTGACTTGTATTCTCCCTGCAGAGATCCGCCCCGCAGCAGACGAGCAGCCCCACGCACCAGTTTGTTAAATAAATGCTTTGAACTTTCCCACTGCCTGTCTCGCCTTGAATTCTGGGTCCAACATTCTGAGATCATTACAGTTGACAACGCAGCTCCTTTGAAAATGAAAACCGTTAAAAATAGAAAGCTTGCTCCTTGGTTTAATGCAGAGCTGCGTACTTTGAAGCAAAATGCTAGGAAACTGGAGAGAAAATATCGCTCCACAGGCCTTGGGAATCCTACCTAGTCTGGAAAAATAGTTTACTGCTGTATAAGAGGACCCTTTTAAAGCAAGAGCAGCATATTTCTACTCATTAATAGAGGAGAATAAGAATAATCCTAGATTTCTTTTTAATCCAGTTGCCAAACTCACCCAGAGCCATAGCTCTGTTGAACCGTCCATTCCACCTGCTCTTAGCAGCAATGATTTTATGGGATTCTTTATAAATAAGATTGATCTTATTAAAAATAAGATCATAAGCACTCCTCTATCCGCGATTGTACCTGAGGTAGTCATGGAATCTGAACCGGGTTTAGACTGCTTTGATCCAGTTGAACTCTCTGAATTAGCAAAATTATTGTCTTCATCTAAGCCTTTAACTTGGATGTTAGATCCAGTTCCAACCAGGTTATTTAAGGAGGTATTCCCTTTGATCTCCTCCTCCTTTAAGATGTGATTAATCTATCTCTGTTACAGGGATATGTACCAAAGGCTTTTAAGGTTGCTGGAATTAAACCTCTGCTTAAGAAACCGTCTCTTGACCCAGATGACTTGGTCAATTATAGACCTATATCCAATCTTCCTTTCTGATCTAAAATTCTTGAGAAAGTAGTTGCCAAACAAATGTGTGCTCACTTACATCATATTTTTTGACTTAATTTAAGTTAAAACTACAGTTTTCTATAAGATTTGAATTAGAACTCAAGAAAAACTGTTAAATTCATCTGCAAAAATAAGAGCATTTTTTTAATTTATATTTTTATATATTTTTTTTTTACAACAGCTCTAGACTGGTTTAAATCTGATCTATCTGATCGAATTCAGTTTGTTCACGTTAATGATAGATCTTCAACACGCTCAAAGGTTACCTGTGGAGTACCACAGGGATCAGTGCTAGGACCAATTCTCTTTACTTTATACATGCTCCCAATCGGTAGAGTTATTAGACAGCATGGGATTAATTTCCACTGTTATGCTGATGATACCCAGCTATATCTGTTGTTGTGGGAAAAAATAATTCAACTATTCATCCTAGTTAAATACACGGAGATCCATGGATTTCACTCAGTCGGCACATTTATTCATATCTTTGCAAAGAGAGAACAGTTCATCATACAGCCCCTATGGCACAGCTTCAGCCCTGTTCTGCATAAGCCGCTCTTCTCCGTTTAACCAGGAAATAAACTGTTAAATCTGCCTCTGTGTCTGCAGTTGTCGCTTGCTTAAGCGTCTGGTCTAGCACCATGTCAGTCTGGGAAAGAATTAGCCACGGAAACTAGAAACTGTCCTTATTTTACATTTTAACCTTAATTATTCACTCATTTCTCTTTTCACAAGAAAAAAATAACTAAACTACAATTTCACAAATGGGCAACATACAATAGTAAGAGTGGATCCACAACTACAGACAACATGTAAGACAAACAGATAAGACAAACAAAACACAAACAAATGGCCATAATATAAATGATTAAACTTATATAATTGCATGCAAACCTTCATGCGTGTGTGCAGACATCCCAAGTCTCCTGGAAGTTCCGGGAACTATCGATATCTCCCTGATATCGATAGTTTTTCACGGATGCCCGCGAGTCGGATAAATTATCCCGGTGTTTTTTAATGCGAGTGAGAGCAGGCAGGCAATAATTCATGCATCATGTGCGGATAAGAACTACTTTGGTTGTGCAGGAACAACAAGAGAGAGAGCGGGGTGTGGAGGAGGTTGCTGGTGGAACCTGTGCAGCGTTTCTGTCCAAAGCGATGCTCTGATCAACCAGCGTTCCAGGAGACTGGTTGATCAGAGTTTCTCTGGTTACTCTCTGGCAGTCACCTAGTTACCACTCAAAGCTGTGCATCCTGGGAAACGGCAGAGGTTCAATCCTCGAGTAAAAAATAAAAATATAGGACTACCCCCCCTAAAGCCTATGGGGGGGGGTCTTTTTGGGTTCTCAGGTGAAAACTCTTAATCACCTTTTATGTCTCAGTCCCATTAGAAACCATTATCAACCATTTATAACTTTAAGTCAGCCCTAATTCTGAAAGTTAGGATGTGTTTTGTTTTTATCATCCTACATTTAAATCCATTGAGCAGGTTTTAGGTTTCATTCTCTTTAAAACATACTTGTTTTAAATGTGCAAAAAGTTATTTTTATTATTTCACTCTCTCAGGAAAAGATGCCACTTTGAGTCAAATCCTCAGGAATTAATTATTAATTTTTTGGAAATCTGCCATTTTTGTAAATGAACTCATAGCTTTTATGTATTTTAGTTGCATTTTTTAAATTACATCCCATATATTGGTCATTTGTAGGTTAACATTTATTGTTAACACCTAAGGGATGAAAATCACTGATTTCATTGTTCATAAGTTTGAACTGATATACATGTATATTAATATTTTTGGAGGAAATAGAAATCAAATTGTTTTATTTTTTCATTTAGTGAAATCTAATTCAGACTAAAGTGACTGTTATATTCAATGGGCCCAGCAACCTGGGACACCAATTAAATGTTGTAATTTTATGTTCCGTTCAATTCTATTCCCAGCCAGCTGGCAATTTATGTTTCTGATACTTTAAGATGTTTATTGCCCCCCCCCCTGTAGGGGTAGTAAATGTCTTATTTAATCAGATATTATTTCAGCTGTTATACAATGTTTAAGACACACAGTCCTACTAACTGTGTGTTAGAACAATAAATCAAAGAGTGATTGGAGCTCTAATCATGGTCAAACTGTTAATTCTGCACATTTATGGAATAAATTCACCACAACTTCTGTTCAAAATATGAGTTTATTAACAAAAATCATTCAGCTGCAAGTCAAACATATTTCAGTTTAACACTCTTAACTAAAACTAGTAAAACTCAACTAAACTAAACTAACTACTATGTACAAAGAGGAAGGGGGAAAACAGTTGAAAACCAAATTACAGTTTAAGATGGATTCTGTGTTTGAAACCAAAGTTTATCTGGAAGAATTTTATCAAATTAGCTTTTCACTAATTTTAAAGAAATTGGAATGTTTTCAGACCAATTCACAATGCAAATCCATGAGGTGAATAAAACATTATTTCGCCAAATAATGTTTTATTAAATGATTTGCTTAATCAAAAGCCAATAACCTTTAGTTAAATGATTCTTTACCCTCTTTGAAATAGCTAGCAGTGAACAGACATCAGGATTCCACTAAATGACTCTTGGTCAGACTTGGTAATTGAAATGTAATAAGCATCTGAGGAACACATGAACACTAATGTTATATCTGTGTTTAAGCTCTTAGTGAAAGGGTTAGTAAAAGCTTCAGCAACAGCTCCTCCAGGTCCTCCAGGTCTGAATTCCAAAAGGAGCAGCTCCGAGCAGGGAGTCCATGTTTAAAGGGAGTAAATAATGTGTACACTCTGTGTAAACATGATGAAAATAAGTCTCTGAGTCTTTAATTGGTCCTAAGGATAAATGAATCAATGTAAATCCTATAGGTTTTTTTATTTTTATAGAATGACGGTCATTAAAGTGTTTAAAATAAAGTTATTTAATTTCCAATGTGATTTCATGAAATGAAGGTTTGCTGTAAGGAAATGTGGCTTTTTTCAACCATCTCACATCCTTAGTGTTCATGTAGATATAGATGCACAAACACAACTCTCGTTAGAGGAATATCCACTAGACAATTATCACAAGAAAAGTTAGATTTACCTGTCAGTTAAGATTGTGGCTTCACTGTGTTTGCTCCTGTTATTTAGACCGTGCCCTTCCCATGGTCCCCGGCTTAGCCTTGAACGTTCATTTGCATGTCAAAAGCTACTTGAATGAGAAGCTCCCCGGATACACACTACCTGACATGCAAATCCATCGGAGGACCAGTTAAAATGGCGGATATGTTCAGCCATCACAGGTGGATAACAACCAACCACTGCCATTCTCTCTCCACCACTCTGTCCAGAGAGTATGCAAAATCTTCCAGTGATTTTACTGGGATGTTTCACTTGCAGATTGTCTAGGAATAAAACTGTAGTTGTAAAGAAGACGAGTAGCAGATCTCATCAACTGTTGCCGTTCTCCATCTAAATCATCGGAAGAAAGAAAAGAAATGCCAAGATCTTTCCTGGTAAAGAAAAAGCGGGGTGCATGTGGAGCATGGCAATGGAAGGAACCAGAGCTGCATCAATGGCAAGAGGACAACACTGCAGGTAAGATGCATGTTTGCTTCATTCAGATGAAATCACAGCAAACAGTGAACCAGATTCAGCTCTTTATTCTAAACACGTTTTAATCTTTTTTTCCAGTGAGGGAAAATGTTGTGGAAAAAGGGATCCTCAGTCATGACATCCAGCAGCTTCCCTCAGCAAATCAGCCGGAACAGACTTCAGGAAGCGGAACAACAGTGGGAGTCATTCTCCCAGTGTCTTCAGTGCTCCAAGGGTCAGAACCAAGAAGCTGGTCAAAAACAGGCCCCTTCGCTTTTCCAACGACTTTGGCCTCCATGAACAGAGCAAAGGTGAATCCTGTTCTGTTTTTAGTTCAACCTTTTTAACACAATCTTTTCTAATTTGCTGTCCTTACTAGATTCAACTAGTTTACTGTAGTTGTATGAAGAATATATCACAAAAGATTTTTACATTTTAAATCTTTAGCCAAGTTAAAATTATTTAACCAAAAAACTTTGTCCTGAGTTTGATTTACAGTATTAATCAAACTCAAATCAAAAGCTGCCATACGGCTGCTTCACAGCAGGTTTCACCAAAGTGACTCTCTGCTACGTCTCCCCTTAATCAATCGATCCGGTTCTTTATTGTTGCACTGCTGGAAGTTCTGCAGGAACAAATCAGGCAGTCTGGCTTCTTCCACCATAACATGTAACACCAGAACTTCCCCATTCTAGGACAACTAAGGGACTTTATATTCTTTAAATTCTATTTTAAAATATGGTTTTGATAAGAATCTAAAATGTTAACTTTGCACAAAAAATGTATTTGAAGTTTATATTACTGTTTATATATTATATATATATATTTTATTTTATCTTATTTTATTTTTTAAACAATTTTTCAAGGCTGCAGTTTAAAAACAGATGAATTGTCCAGTGAGCTGTTTCCAAACGAAATGTCTTTTTGTTTTAAACTTGTGTAACAAAATGACAAATAAAATCTGTCTAAAGTCTAAGAATCGTTAAGTTTTAAAACTGTCCAGCGTTCACTAGCTGTTGCTCAGGGAGGCTGTGATATTTCAAAGGCTAAACTAATACTTTGGAGCCTAAGGTGTTCAACCATCCCACACACCACCATGTTGTTTCCATCAGATTATAGGAGAGGAGTCCTTCTGCCACAGTAGCTGATCATCCTACTGAGTATTCAGAGATTCTTCTCCAAATTACAGATCGACCAACATTTTTTATGCCACTATTGATACAATAAAAAACACAAATAGCAGATAAAATGGAAATATTCTGTCTTCTAACTCTAACCAAACCAATGTGTTTATTATCCTTTATCTGCTGACATCCAACCGCTTTGGATGTTATCGCCCCGATAAAAGGCCGCTATTAGCAGTTATCAGTCCCATAGAACGGCTTCAGATTGAGCCTCTTACCTTCCAGCAGGCTCAGCAGGTTATCACTGAATTAATCCTAATCCTGACATATTTATGTGTAACCACAACATCATTTCAATGAATCGGCATGTTACCCCCCCCCCAGATCCTGTAAACTGAGTTGTTTTTAAACACCACATTAAATGTGTGTGATTGAAACGTGGAAATCACTCAAAGTAAAGCTTTAAACCACTTTTTTTTAAGCGGCTGTGCTGTAAATAAGGTTGATTAAAAAGTATAAACTAGTTAAATAGAAATTGAAATTATAGGTATACTGGAGGATTTTAGTGAATTTTTTAAAAGACCCGCCCTCTCCACATTAAAAGAAATTGTGCATGCACAACCCTGTACCCGCTCCAGAGAGGGAACGCCTATTAAATGCGTGCAGGAGCCCATTTCTCCTCTAAATGGTGCAGGGAGACAATAATGAGACGGTGGCTCATCTCACCCATATTTATAGATAAAAACTTTCCCCTCAAATAAGACTATTGGTACAATGAAGAAATCATGCCATGCTAGTGTCTGTGAGTGTGCTGCAGTGGAAACGTGGACATGTTTGCAGGTAAATGAGGATCCAAGGCCACCGTATAACTACTAAAGATGCATATTACAAAATAAATAAACTTATCTTTCCTGGAAAGTTAAAATATAAAGGTAGATAACTTTTTCCAGCAGTGAGGGGAAATGCATTTTTCCAAGTAGCCAAACTTTACCTGTCGAGTAGAAACTTGTCAAGCGAGGCATCAGAGGGAGGACCAACCTGTGCTTTCAGTGGACGCCATCATGTGAAAGACTCTCCTAAAAACACTCTGGTCTGGTTTCTCTCCTCTGAGGCTTTTCTTTTCTGCTCACAAACTTCGTAGAGACTTTTTCTCTTCCGACCCTCGGCCATTTTCAAAGAACCTCGATGAGAAAGGTGAGCTTCAATGACTGTCTGAAACCGTCTGAAAGTGGACATGCTCATAAAAAGATAGCTACCTATTCGGACAGCACATAGGACGGCCTTACGTAAACATCACCAGAATGACTGACAATTAGGAGGACCAATGATTGAGATGATCCACCCAGAAAAAGAAAATCCTCCTTTAAGGTTTTAGACGCGGCCGAAGTGGCTGCGATCAACGATAACCAACATATTATTAGCCATAAGAAACCTATTAGATGGTAGAGAAGGTGCATCCTGAAGCCACTCTATGGGACTGATAATAACGGCCATTTAATGGTTCATCACATCTAAAAAGGGTTTGACATCAACAAAGCTTTTATGTTAAAAAATAGATGCTCGCTGGATTTATTGTCTTTATTGTACTTAAACCCTGAGAAACAATTGCAAGTAAAGATGGTAGGGCAGGAGTAGCTTCTTACACCAACAACCACGCTACATTTAGCATCTCTTAAATCCCCCATTCTGGTGCCCAACTGGATCCTTTAATGCATGGATGTGCTACAGCGTGATTTACCATCTGAGTTAACAGAAGAGGTGTAACTGCAGCTAAATGAGAGACCAGCCCAGTGTCAGTCAGTGAGACCAGGCCAGCTGTGGCTTTAAGTGAGTGAATGACTGAATGTGGTTTAAACGTTTTGGCTACACTTCCTGACTTGAAAAGACGCTGTATGAGTACATGCCATGTACAGCTGAATATGTCGACCTTTCTGCCCAAAGTCCAAATGTTGATTTTATTAAACTGCTCAGTTTTATTTTTCATTATTAGTTTGAAACATTTGAAATTGTGCATTAAATAAACTACAGTGAATTCTGCAGTGAGAACCATAAAAGGCAGGTTAGCTGGAAGCGAAGCTCTCATTTCAACATTTATTTACGTGAGGCACAGCAACTCATGTGGGTTACTGGCAAACACACCTTTCTAACTGCTGTTCACCTTTAATTAAAGAAATCCTAAAGAATTTCCTGAAGCAGGTTTAGGGCTAAACCTGAGACATGCTGCTGCTGCATCCTGCAGCTCTAAAGTCTTTCCTTCCACTTGGTCTTTATCATTTGCATTCTGGTCTTAACTGCTTTTGCTGTACATGCACTGAACCACACAGAACACACACGTTATGTCCCGCTATCCTTATGGGGACCTTCCATTGACTTCAATTCATTCCTCTGGCCTAACCTAAGCACTCTTCATACCTTCTCCTAAACCGAACCCACCAAACAGGACGACCCCCAAACGTTTTTAACGTTTTATTCTGTTATTGTTTCATTATTTCAATCTGATCTCTGCGATGCTACTTTCATCTTATAATCCTCTCCTGGTTTGTAGTGACAAAAAACAAGATGTCTTGTTTCACTTTGACCTGTTTCTGATTAAAAACATCCTATTGAAAAGTTTCACATTCTAACTCTTTTAAAATCTCAGTAACATTACATATGTGGCCATTTGACGTTCTTTGTGCAAAGGACTAACTTTGTTTTGGCACATTAACTGATCAAACCTCAGTTCATGTAAATTAAAGAGCCTGTGCTGTTATTTACATGTGGGATAGTCAGAGGAAAACAGACGGAAGGTTTTCTCTCCTGCGCTTTCCTGCTCCAGCCTGCAAGCAGGAGGATACTCATACAAATATATGCAAAGTCAGTATGAAGGCACAAATCAGAGGACATTTTCAGCTTTGAGGTTAGCACACCCAGGGCAGACAATTAGATCTGATTCACAGAAATCTACATGGAGAAAATACTACCAAACAGCAAAATGCATCCAACTTTTTTCACTTTACAGCACTGGTTTAATAAGCTAGTTGGAAAAATAATAGTATTGATTAGTATTTATTCAGACCATTGATGCACTCTTCTACAGAATGAAGGAACGAAAGAGGTGAAGCCCATAGCTCAGAAACAACTGTTTAAATGTTTACTCTTCCTCTGACTGCTATATCCATGTGCTCTCCTTTATTATCCAACCTTTGAAGCCTTTGCACAAATCACCAACATTGAACACAGCTTGTCCATTTCAAATGGTGGCAGGAACCTTATCAGGCTAAACTGGGACCATTTGCCCTGACCTTGCAGCCAGGGCAAAGGTTTCCATCAAAGTATTCTGTTAATGTGGTTAAATGTGTGGAAAATCTGATGACATGTATTGTGAACTGGTGTTAAATAAATAAACTGAACTGGACAGATCTGGTCAGCTTGTGGGTCTCCTGAGGCAGCAGGCAGGTATCATAAAGCCAAGCGTGTCGCCACGGTTACCGAGGCAAAAACTTGCAGTTTGGAGAAAGACTTGAATCGGTTGGATCAAAGTGATTCTGGCAAACCGTCCGGCGCAGCAGAGGGGAAGCAGAGCTTTGCTAACACTGTTTTCAGAGGGTGAGCTGCTGACCCTGAAACAGGAAATTGTTTATTTAATATCTCTTTTATATGAATAGTTTTTGGATTAAATTCAAATTGAATGGCACACCACTTTTTACTGAACTGTACTTCTTAACGTATTAAATTACCGGTGCTGTGCTTCAGTGACTCAATAGAACTACAAATACAAATATTTCACAAAAGAATTTAGATCTAAGCATTTAGATCTGGCAGAAATAACGCCTTCAGCCTAGATAATAATGTCTGTTTCCCAACTGGCATGAGCCGGTTCCCAACTGGCATATCCTGGTTCCCAACTAGCATACACAGGGTCCAAACTGGCATAAGCCGGTTCCCAATAGTTGGGAACTGACATATGCCATATGCCACTTTTGGTTCAAGGTGCTGCTGTAGAGATACGACAGAAGCTTGGTCGTCCAGGAGAGAATCAGAGCAGAGCTTCTTCTCCTCCACATTCAGAGGAGTCAGCTGAGGAGGGTCAAAAATCTTTATCAGATGCCTCCTGAATCCTCCCTGTGAGGGGTTCCAAGCACATCCCATCAGGAGGAGGACCAGGGGACACCATGGAAACACTATGTCTTCCCGGGGTGGCCTGGCAGCACTTTGGGCTTTCTTTAGCAGAGCTGGAGGAAAGGTTCTGGATAGAGGGAAGGTTGGGAGTCGCTGCTCAGACCCGATTTCAGGTTTAAGGTAGAAGACGATGAGTATGATGACGACACTGAATTAAATTGTTGGCCTATCACAGCAAAACTAGGAAAAACTTTAACTACACAGTACAGGTTTGCAGTGTTGAACAGTTCATTTAATTATTATTATGAAGAAGTAAGCTAAACATCATTTAATTGAATTCTGTTATTGTCATTTTACATCGAAGCTCAATTAAATTTAGATCTGATCTGTTATGACAAGATATGAGAACAAAGTGAGTCTACAGTTATTACACTGTCCAAATCTGTAATGAACTTTTTCCTTTTCCAGACTCGCCCTCGCAGTACACCTGTTTCCGGGGATTTTGCATGCTCGCTGTGCCACAAAATCTTTCCCCTGCAGCGCATGCTAACACGCCACCTCAAATGCCACAGTCTGGTGAAGAGGCATCCCTGTCGATTCTGTGGCAAAGGATTCAATGACACTTTTGACCTCAAGAGGCACATGCGAACACATACAGGTTAGAAATGTCACCTGCATCTACAAAACCTTCTTTGAATCTTTAAACAGGACACTGATGTATCGGACACATGTATAAGGGGGTAAAGGACCATTTGGTTCATAGTTTATTACTTGGGTGCATAATTAATAATTAAATAATTATGGACCAAGACCCAGATAAGAGGAAAAAAGTGATTAGGGCTAGGGGTGAATACATCGATTTACTAGTAGGATCATTTTGGGAAGAGTGTAAATCATGGTGAACCAACACTGAACACAAACATATACAGTAAATATCAGGCTGAAAGAGCTAATTAGCAGACAGTCAACTTTCCCTATAGCCAATAAAAAAAATAAATACATAAAAAAAAAACAAAAAAAAAAAACAAGACACAAAAGAACAAGGAATATGAAAAAATAAGCGCTGAAGACCTGGTTTACTGTGATGCAACAATAGGTGCTAGTTGAATACAATTTTTTAATAAATCATAATTTTGGAAGCATCATCAATTAAATTATGCATTAACAAGTTTTATCTGGAAAAATTATCAAACTTCTCTCTGATCTGCAGCAAACTGCGCTAGTTAAACACAGATTTTGCACATTCCTCTAAAATATCATGAAGTGGAAGATTTGTGTCCCCATATACATTTGTGCATAAAGAAAATCTTTCATTTAAAATCTGCAACAAATTATAACAAATAAAAAAATGCATTTCGATCAGTTGCAATATAAACAACCAAAACCAAAGCGATTTTTTCTCCTTCCTCCTGCAGGTATCCGACCGTACAAATGTGAGCTGTGTGAGAAAGCTTTTACCCAACGTTGCTCTTTGGAGTCCCATATGAGAAAGATTCATGGTGTTCACCAGCACTACGCTTATCGGCAGAGAAGGTCCAAGATCTTTGTGTGTGAGGACTGTGGATTTACCTCAAGTCGCCCTGATGAGTACTTCCTTCATGTGAGGCAACATCATCCAACAAGCCCTGCGCTCCGTCGCTACTATCGACGCCATGCGCATGAGAACGGCCCTCTTCCATCAGCAAACCCTAAACTCAACCCTTATGTGTTGTACTCAGCTCCAGCATACTTCATGTAGAGCTCATTCTGCTAACCTTTATTTATAAGAGATGTTTCAGTCAGAAACAATGCTGCTTTGAGCTCATTTATTCGTTGTGTAACATTTAGTTTCTGTACTTCCTGTAATAATGCTAAACCTTCTGCTAAGTTAATGTCGTTAAATATCCAGTCTTTGTAACCTTCACCCAAATTAATGTGTTTATATTTTTTGGCAAGCTGCAGTGCGCACCACCAGGAACACAACACAGCCTTATTTCCTGCAATCATATCCAACAATGTTCTGTGTTGACAATCATGTTATGCTCTTTAGTTTTGTCTTAAATAGTTCAAACTTTCTTTCTAGTGCAAATAGTTCTAAGGTATTTGAGAATAAACCAAAGTCTGTAATTTAAACTTAGCGTAAAAAGCATGAGGAGTCATCATTCAGTGAGTGTAGAACAATGAACATAATTGAATTCTGAAATAATCACATTTGTTGATGCATTAAGATGATTGTCTTGGTTGAATAGATACATTCATCAGATAAACAATTGATCCTGAAAATATATAGAAATGGGAAATTAAAACTTTTACTTCTGTAAATATTTGTTCAATTTTTTTTTTATACCAGTAACAAATAAATTCTTTTTCGAATTGTGATAGGTGTCTTTAGTTGTTGGTACATTTTATTGGTGAAGTATAAAACATTTCAGGTTGATATTTCACATGTGGGAGTCCTCAAACGGTTCTGGTTCACTAAACATGTGAAGTCAAGGTTCAGTAGTGGAATTGCTTCTATCTAGTGGCAATCAGTCCTAAATACATCTTTGCTCAGCTCCTTCCCTGTACCCTTTCCTTCATCTCCCCCACATATTTACTTTCATGTCCTTGATAAAACATCCTAACTTTCAGAATTAGGACTGATATAGAACCTGACATAAAGTTATAAATGGTTGGCTTACAATTCAATTCAATTCAGTTTATTTATATAGCGCCAAATTCACAACACGTGTCATCTCAAGGCACTTTACAGTTCACCAGATTATCCAGTCAAATAGATACAAAGTTTTCTATCTAAGGAAAACCAGCTGATTTCAGCAATCCCTCACACTAAGCCTGCTTGTAGCGACAGTGGAGAGGAAAAACTCCCTTTGAACAGGAAGAAACCTCCAGCAGAACCAGGCTCAGTGTGAGCGGCCATCTGCTGAGGCCGACTGGGGTTCAAGGAGACAGCTACAAAAAGCAGCTGTAAAAGGCGGCCCCGTCCAGGAAACACACAGCCAGGCAGACGAGCTCCGAGCCAGCTCCCATGTCAGAGGATGAAGAGAGCACATCCAGTTAGTCACAGTCAGAGAAACAGGACTACACTGGAAAACAGGCCAAGCTCCAACATCTAGAAACAAAGGTGTTGATGGCAGCAGCACAGCTAATATTTCTCTCCAGGATGGAGTCACAGCCAAACAGGAACAGACCAGATGAAGCTACTATGAGAAAAAGCAGAGAGAGCAGAACGTTAGAGATTGAACTAACAGATTCTGCAGAGTGGGAGAATAGAGATAGAATGAAGCAGAATGATGAAAAAGGGGTCCCTATGTCCTCCAGCAGTCTAAGCCTATAGCAGCAGAACTATAGAGATAGCTCAGGATAACCTGAGCCACTCTAACTAGAAGCTTTATCAAAAAGGAAAGTTTTAAGCCTAGCCTTAAAAGTAGACAGGGTGTCTGCCTCACGGACTAAAACTGGTAGTTGGTTCCACAGGAGAGGAGCCTGATAACTAAAAGATCTGCCTCCCATTCTACTTTTAGAAATTCTAGGAACCACTAGTAAACCTGCAGATTGAGAGCGAAGTGCTCTGTTAGGAACATAAGGAACAATCAGATCTCTGATATCAGATGGAGCTTGGCCATTTAAGGCTTTATATGTGAGAAGGAGGATTTTAAATTCTATTCTGGATTTAACAGGAAGCCAATGAAGAGAAGCCAGGATAGGAGAGATATGATCTCTCTTTTTCATTTTCATCAGAACTCTGGCTGCAGCATTTTGGATCAGCTGAAGGCTTTTAACTACAGTTTGTGGACTTCCTGATAGTAAAGAGTTACAATAGTCCAGCCTTGAAGTAACAAATGCATGGACTAGTTTCTCAGCATCACCCCTGGACAGGAGATTGCTCAGTTTTGCAATATTCCTCAGATGAAAGAAGGAAATTCTAGAAACCTCTTTGATCTGGGATTTAAATGACAGGTCCTGATCAAAAACAACACCAAGATTTTTTACTTTATTATCTGAAATCAGTTTAATCCCATCCAAATGAAGTGACTGGCTAATCAGTTTCTTTTTCAGAGACTCTGGTCCAAAGACTATAACTTCTGTTTTGTCTGCATTCAGAAGCAGAAAGTTAAGAGTCATCCAGGTTTTTATGTCTTCAGACATGCCTGTAATCTATGTAATGGGTTAGCTTCATCTGGATTTATAGATTTTACAGCAGAATAGTAACTGGTTCGCTGTTTATTGACTAGAGTTAAAGTGCATGCGTATAAATACACTGAAAAGCGGCCATTAGTGCGGCATAATCTTTAAACAACATAACAAAGCCCTACCCTGCCTAAACGAACCTAATTCTGTGTTTTTATTATTTTTGATGGGTTTATTTGAAACAAGAATCTTATAGAGCAATAGTTCTTAATACTGGTCCATAATTATCACTGCCCTGCATCTTTTAGATGTGCAGCACATCTATACTTCAAATAACTGCACAACTTCCTCAGCCACCATTAAAGTACTGCAGAAGTCTTTTAATCATTCCTTCATAAAGGTCAGCCTGGTCCACCAGTATCACTGAGTTGGAGGTTCTGCATAATCCACGACTTTTCTGCATCAGAAATAGACAGGTTTATTGTGATGTGGTAACATATTTATGGGCAGATAGAAAGAAAAACACAGTTAAGAAGAATTATTGAGGACTCAGCAACATATCACAAAAACACATTTTTTTGTGATATGTTGCAGTTTAAAAGAGAAAAAACTTGTAAAATGAAGGAATTAACCTAAAATAAAAACACAAAAAAACAAAATTAAATAGAGAAAAGTATGTTGATGAGAAAAGCAAATATGAGAAAATTAGATGAGAAATGTTTGTGGTGAGAGGGGAACGTGACTTAAAGTGACTGAAGGATGAAATGAGGCGACTGACCAGACGACATTCCTTTCCTGAAAAAGGCTTCTTCTTTTATTTGGTAAAGATGAACAACTTTATATTATTATTTTTTTATTCATTTGAAACATTGAAACTCTTTCTTAAACTAACCATTGTTTTATTTTTACTCCCTGCCCTTGGAACATGGACTCCCTGATCGGAGCCGCTCCTTGTGGAATTCAAGCATCAATCTCCCCCCACCCCCCAACGTACACACACCGACACAGCAACCGGATGGAAATGATGAGTTAAAATATGGGGAAAACAACACAAAGGATTTTCATCTGCTCTGAACCCCTGACCCTGATAGCTCACCTGAGCTGCAACCTGCTTCACAATGTGTGTGTGTGCAAGAACCATGAGGACAGAGACACTGGGGACATTTTTTGGGGGGGACACAAGGAGGAGGTGCACCAACATAAGGCTTTCCTTCCCTGCAGTGCTAAATTAATTTTTAAATAATTAGATATTTGTTTTTGTTTGAGAAGTGGCTGACCTTTTTGACTGAGGTGGTGGAGCTCCAGGACTGAAACCACCTGTTGGCAGCAATCAGTAAAGGGTAAAGTGATCAACCATATATTTTATTTTATTTCATTTTCCATTTCTATAGACTTCCAACTATCCAAGAGAAGTTTGATAACTTTCTCGTTTAGATTCCTTTCTGCATCTTGCAATGAAGAAAATGCTGCTGACTGACTGACTTTCTTGACACGACTTTTATCTGTGGGAAAATTAGGGTGATGATGTACGGCCTGGTTGGCTTTCACTAAAGATGATTGTTTTAGAGTCAGTATAATCATGTCTGATCAAATTAGAACCAGCCTTAAATATTTAAACCAAAAATTATCTTTTTAAAAGAAAAACTCAGCAGCAACTGTCTTTCCCTGTCGGCTTCAGGCTGGAAAACAAAAGGTTTATTATCAGGCCTGTGGTTGTTTAAAAACCGGACGGGTCTGGTTTTGTTCATTTCCTGCTGTCACCATGTTCCATAATGTTATGGACGGACCTGGAGATGAAAACTGAGGCAAATCCAGAGAGAGAAAAGAGTCCAAACATGGTCTGACACAGTAGTAGTAAAATGTGCACAGGTTTTAGTCACAAACCAAATTCTCTATTTCCACAGCAGCCACTCGGAGAGATTAGCTTCATCTCTGCAGGATTTTGTGGGATGTTGCTTTGTCCCTGTGCCATGAATGTCTGAGGTTCTGACTAAGACAGAGAAAAGGTGACTGTTGCTCTGACTTATGAAAATGTAAACAAAACAGCAACTTATAGAGGAAAAAGAATGAATAATATAATCCAATAGGATAAAATCTAAAGTTATGTCATTTTAATTAGATTTCACTAAATGAAAACTAAGAGAAATTGATTTCCCTTTCCTCCAAAAATATTAATATACATGTATATCATCAAATACACAAAAAATGAACTAAAATACAAAAAGGCTTTATTAACTAAAATGGCAGATTTGCAAAAAATAAATAATTAATTCCTGAGGATTTGTACGGACGAGTATTGCATTCACAGAAGAACAAAAAATCTGACAGCTTATCTCATAATTACGAGATCAGTATCTCGTAATTATGAGATCTTTTCTCATAATTATGAGATACTGGTCTCGTAAATATAAGATATTATCTCGTAATTATGAGAAAAGATCTCATAATTACGAGATAACTAGGTACGTGACCAGTGTCTGGTCACTCACTACGCTTCCGTACCTCACTGCCGTACCACCCAAGAATTGCTGCATAGAAACAGGACGGTAGGTAAGTCGTTAGCTCGATACTTCCAGTGCAGATGCATGCTGTTGATAGACTTTATAGAATGTTTATAGTTAATGAATTTATGTGCTTTATTGCTATCGTAATCAATCAAGGTGGTGTCGTCTCTGTTTAGTTCAGATGACAAAGTTTAGCTAACACGGCCAGTATGTAGCCTCAATAACTAGGCGCTAGCAAGCATGGAGGACTTAATCTAAGCACATTTTTTTTTAAATTGCTTGCATC